GAAGGGAACAACGTCAAACATCCTCCATTCCTGAGTGGTGTGCTCATATCTCTGCGTCCGTGCCTTCGAGAGTTTCCTCAGCGGATGCCCAAGCGCGGAAAAAGGGATCACCTCGCTTAATCCCACCACTTCCTTTTTACGTCCATCTTTGTGGACTTCTTCTGCCTGTTTACCTTTTTATATAAACTGAGAGTGCTGTTGACTCTCAGCTACAACCACACCAGGTTTTAGCTCAAAGTGAGTAAAACTGACTCAATTATAATCACTTTTGTGTTTTAAAGGCCAGCTTGCTGTGGCAGCCATCTTTAATTGGTTTGATTTTAAAAAAATCACTTGTATTTTAAGACCGTAATAACTATTTCCTCAAAGTTTCATTAAAATTCCCCAATTCATAAAGATATTTTGCTAACAGACAGATGACATTGACTACAAATAGATCCTGTGAAATCTGTTAGCTATATGTGTTGCCACATACAGTCACAACAAATTTTAGCTCAATGTGTGTGAAACTGGCTGAACTGGAGGCATTTTTGTGGCCATCTTGAATCATGAATCTATAAAATGTAAAAGCTGAGCATACTGATTTGTCCCTGTTTAAAACACCTACACTTTTTCTTTGCGTTCCAAAACGTTGGTCCTCCTGTCCAGCTTTTGAACCACCGGTTATCAGTTATTTTTACACTTCCCTGTTTAAAAAAAAGGCAGCAGGAACATCCCTTTCAATGAACTGTGATGCATTTCCTGGCGGGCGGATGGAAAACAGAGCCATGTGTTAAAACACGGGAGGCAGGGCTGGAAAAAGAGGAGGAATCAACATGATGAACATAAACACGATTGATATTCTGCCTTTTTWAAACATTTTTTAAATTTCTTTCTGAACTTTCGTGACGCACATTAAGCAAAACACTTTTTTTTGTGGCCCGCAGAATCCAGTCACAGAAACAGCCTTTGACCTCAGTGTGGGCGGAGGGCGTCAAGTTTGATTAAAACGGGTGATGGGTGGAGCTGCGGGGTGAGGGCGACGCTGGTGCCTTTTTCAGCTTCCTGCCTCCTTCGTGCCGTGGAGATTTCTTTGTTTTCCCTCTAAAAAAAAACTGTGCGGCAGCTCAGTAATCATAATATCTCTGCCACAAAAGCAAAAATATCCCCCCGAGATGTTGGTGGCTTTTTAAGCGCCAGGGTTGAGCGTATAACAGACGTTTAGCTTTTTACTGGCATCTCTGCTGTTTTTCTTAATGAACTGTGACGCTGATGGAAAAGGAAGTGGCACTCTTGAGTCTAACTGGCTCAGAGGCTCTCAGGTGTTTTCGTCAATGCGTGTCGAAATGTATWTTCTCTGCAAACTTTTTAGACTTGTAGACGCCGCTTTCTGTTGTGTTTGTGAAGTTGTTTATCTATCATTTACCCCGGCCGTCAAACAAGTTGAACAGACTTATTTGGCTCCCTGCTGCATAAAKTTTGTCTACAGTGGAAATTAGCAGCAGATAACACTGACAAAAGTATTGACCCAGGAAGGAGGCAAGCTGGAGGAGTGCTTAGTGCCTCCATGTGATCGAAGGGACCATCACTGCTGGCTCTGCAGAGCAAACATCCCYGAAACTCAGACCAAGTGTCTGTTTTAAATAGGGATGAAAATTTCAGCCGATATCGATATTCAATATAATTATTTC